TTGTTAACCTTCTCAGCCGGCTTCCAACAAGCAAAGTCAATGGAGAAAACCAGACTCACTTAACGACTGCATGGTTCACTCAACAGCTGCAGCAATTCGCTTAACAACTGTGACAAAAGATTGTAAAATAAGGTACATCTCAACTGCCTCACTTAATGACAGAAATTTTGTGGTTGTAGTTGAGGACTACCTATATCAACTCTCAAATCCACACACTCCCATCCCCATATGAAAGGCAACTAGGGGTGAAGATGGAATTGGTGTAACAATTTGGCCTTGTAAATATTTTAGGAGCGAAGAGACTGTTCTGTTACTTTGGAAGTAACAGGAAAGTCTGACCAACTGATCCCAACTAAATCCAAGTTAATTGGACAGCAAATAATATTACTAGCCATACTCTATGAATTGAAAGAGGTTTTCTATTAAACAACGTATTTTGTATTTCCATAGAGCAATGTTTCTTAAACTTTCTTTTCCTGGGAATTTTTCCTTTGTACAAGTTGTATTTATCTATATTTAAAGATAAAGGTTCCCCTCGCACATACGTGCTAGTTGTTTCCGGCTCTAAGGGTCAGTCTCTGTTACGAAGCCCAAGAGCCAGCACTGTCCAAAGAGGTGTCCATGGTCATGTGGCTGGCATGACTAAATGCCAAAGGCACATGGAACACTGTTACCTTCCCACCAAAGGCCCCCCCGTTTTTCTACTTGCATTTTTACATGCTTTCGAATTGCTAGGTTGGCAGAAGCTGGGACAAGTAACGGGAGCTCATCACGTTACGCGGTGCTAAGAATTCGAACCGTCGAACTGCCGACCTTGCTGATCGACAAGCTCAGGGTCTTAGCCACTGAGCCACCGTCACCCTCTATCGATATTTACCCTATTACAAATTTAAAATGATATATTCATTGCCTTTACCACTTCTCACAACTGTTTGATGAAATTTTATTCAATATACTAAAACTCCCATGCTTGCTTATTTGTAGCCTTTAATTGGGCAAAATGGTGCATCATAGAGCAATAATTTTTGAATCAACAATAACTCACCTGGGTTAACTTTAAAAAATGCATTCCAAATCCAGGGCCCATGATTACACCCATGGGATTTGACAAAGTTGTTGCTGCTTCAGCACCGCCATGTTGCTGTGCCATCATTGTCACCCATGATCACATGATCTTCATGGGCATACCCCTGCCTTTCTTCCCACCTCCCTCTGGCTCCTGTGTCCAATTGCTGGCGCTAAGGGCCAATGGGAAAGTAGTTTATTGGATACTCTAGAATTTAGGTCGAAATCTGAAACATCTTAATGACAGGGGTCAATGAAGGAAGGGCAAGGGAGCAACACAGATGGTTGCTGCTGAGATAGGGCTGGCTGGAGATGTCTATGTGTGAGCTCTCTTCCTCCCTGGAAGGAAGGGGGCCTTGGGGGACAGGCAAGAATGGGAAGTTTTTCTCACAATCTAGGGCTCCCATTGTTCCCATTCCTCCCAGCAAAGTGGCAGGCTGTGCCACGGGTCAACCAAGGAAGAGGAAGGACTCTGCTGAGGCTTATGAAGGGAGGAGAAATGGTGCTGGCCTATATTATACGTGAAAAAGAAATATCACCCTATCAGTTGTTTAGCATTACATTATTTTTCAACATAGGCTGGCAAATAATTTTGATTTTGAGGACCCCTGAAAGGGTCTTGGGAGACCTCCAAAGATCCTAAGACCACATTCTTTAAGAAACATTGCTTTAGAGCAAAGGTCTCCAAGCTTCGCAACTTTAAGACTTGTAGACTTCAGCTCCCAGAATTCCCCAGCCAGCCATGTTGGCTAGGGAATTCTGGGAGTTGAAGTCCACAAGTCTTAAAGATGGCCAGTTTGGAAACCTGTGCTTTACAGAAACACAAAAGCTTCTCACCCAAGATTTTGGACTACATATTGGGGGCAGAGGCTTGTAAATAAAAGCCTTCTAAATTTTAAGATAGGTAACTTAAATATTAGGACAGTCACAGCTGGATAATCAGCAAGGCTCCTTTGGCCACCAAAATCTTGCAAAAGCATTTCCAGGAGTGCCATCATTGCTGTTTTTTCAGCAATAACAAATATATTTACTCAAAATCAGGTGCCATCAAGACCGAAGAGACTTTTACACTCAAGTAAGTTTCACCTTCATACATCTTTGATGGAACATGCTTAACCATAATTCATGGGGGGGGGGGGGGAGGAATATACCCTCACATACAATTCAATGAGTTGGCTCAACATGCTAAGCCGTGGTATATGAGCTGCAACATGTTCGCACAACCAGAGTCAAACAAACCACAGAATGGCTTAATTATATTAGATGAGACCAACTTAGCACTGGAAGTGTAAAAAAAAATTCAGGCTGCTCCACAGAATGCCCTGTGCTGGTAAGATGGCAGCTTAAAAGAGAATCAGGGTTTGTTTAACGAAAGCTTACCTACGGGGCATAACAAAACAGAAACATGTCTACCAAATTTGATATGATAGCAATAGCAATAGCAATATCACAGACTTATATACCGCTTCACAGTGCTTTACAGTCCTCTCTAAGCAGTTTACAGAGTCAGCATATCGCCCCCCTACAATCTGGGTCTTAATTTTACCGACCTCAGAAGGATAGAAGGCTGAGTCAACCCTTAGCCGGTGAGAATTGAACTGCCGACAGCTGGCAGTCAGCAGAAGTAGCCTGCAGTACTGCATTCTAACCACTGCACCACCACGGCTCTATAAATAAAAGATATAGGCAAATATACATACAAAAAATACATACACACACATTAAAGTGGCAGGCCATGTTAGTCGCCAGGCTGAATATATGCAAGGTCTTTACAAAGACAGACAATGATGGCCTTATCAGGAGTATTATAGTTGGGCTGCAAAAATCTAGATGACGGTAAACAGGGACCGAAACTCTCTGCCTGATCAAGAGTCACCCAGGTTTCTGCAGACAAGATATGATAGCCACTGTTACATGGCCACTGTCCGGAGGCACATTCATATGGCAAGTGGCAACCAAGATTCTGGAGAAAGCCTTGCCCAACTACCTTGGAAGCAGAGAAGGTTCTTAAAAAGCTACTGGTACAGCAAACGTGGGGTAGTAGCTGTATAAGTTAGAGGGAGAGGTGGTCCCTTCCTTTAGTAGACAGTACATGTATTGGTAGGACAGTCACATCCCACTCAAAGCAGAAGACAAAGTTGTACAATCTTTGTCTTCAAAAACCTTGAGCGTAGGCACCATCAACATTGCATATCTTCACTTATAAAGCAGAAGGTTGCCTTGCTTCAGGGCAATCAGTCACTATAACACCATCAAAGGAGAAAAACCTAAGTTTCTGGGACTTCCCTCCCTCATAATTTCAAGGCTTTTTCTGCATGACAATATGGCACACTGAGGTGAGGCCAAAGAAGCCCTTGATACTTATGTCTCTTTTCCATTGGAATCTGTGGGACTTTCTGTCCCATCCTCATCGCATTACTGAAGACGGCAGCTGCCAAGTTCTCCAGAATATTACCTTGGGCAGCCACAGTAATAACCAATAAACAGAGAAGCAAAATCCTGAAGCGTGTAAGGCTGAAACTTCCACTTTGGGTATTTCCAGTTACAGAAATGCAGGAAAATCCTCCATCCAAGATTTTGAAGAGGTATAGCTGGTCAGAATACAGCATATGAGATTGGATAGCCCACTGGCCTAACTCAATACAAGGCAGTCCTTTGATTTCCACAAGTTTGTAATCCATCTGTTTCATAGTGTAGCATGCTATGAAAAAGAAACTTCCCCACCAGCGCCTTCCAAATGTACATGACCTTCAGCCTCCATTATCCCTAGGAAGCCAGAGGGCTATTCATTTAATTATTAGGATTTATATTGTACAACTCAAAGTGATCGGTGTCCATCAGCTTCCTGACTATTTTCCCCACACCTTAGGATGTGTGCCTGGACTGAAAGAGGACGATGGCCCTCAAGTCACTCAACCAGATGTTATACTTTATGGAGGACTGAAGTTTAGAATACAGGTAATCCTTGACTTACAACAATTCGCTTAGTCGCCGTTCAAAGTTACAGCGGCACTGAAAAAAGTGACTTATGACCATTTTTCACACTTATGACCATTGCTGACGGTCATAGGATCAAAATTTGGATGCTTAGTAACTGACTCATATTTATGACAGCTGCAATGTTCCGGGGTTATCTTTTGTGACCTTTTTTTATAAGCAAAATCAAATGGGGAAGCCAAATTCACTTAACTACCAGGTTACTCACTGAACAACTGCAGTGGATTCACTTAACCCTGTGGCAAGAAAGGTCATAAAAAGGGCCCCAAATTCAACAAATGTTTCATTTAGCAACAGAAATCTGAGGTTCAATCATAGTCTCGTAAGTTGAGGATTATCTATATCTAAGAGAGGACTGAAGGGAAGACTAGGGAAGCTGAAAACCGATACAATTGGAAGGCACCAATTTGAAAACAGTTGCCTATGGAGGAAGGCTGGATTTGGTGCTTATGTGCATCGTTTGTTTGTTTTTTTTAATGAAAAGACCCAGAGAACATGTTGTACATGAATTCTGTCCTTTCGAAGAGCTTTCAATATTCTAAACAGAAAATGTTATCCATGTTTATCAGCCATGAGGTAAGGAAACACAGTGTGGGGTCAAGCAAGAAATTGACTGGATGCCTGTTCGCAAGGAAAGAGATGGTGCATCCTTTAGCCAGAGTTCTTTTGCCAGAGTTCTTCCCTGATTTGTGTGTGTGTGTGTGTGTGTGTGTGTGTGTGTGTGTGTCTTTCCACATGCCCACAGAAGGCAGCGTAGAACCAAGTCTACTTCAACTCTTATTGCAAAAGACCTCCAGTCTAAAACATCAGCCCAATTCTGTAAAGCAAAACAACAGAAATGCATAGGCACTGTGGTGACATTTCCAAACCAAGTCATTGAAAAGGCAAATTGCCTTGATCTTTCACATCCACTCTAATGAGGCTTTATAAAAGAGAGGGAGAGAGAGGGAGAGGGAGAGGGGGAGAAGAGGAAGACGTTGGCCAACAGGATATCAGCTTCTCATGCATCTTGCAGATCCGGAATGTCAGAGAGGATCATGGGAGAACCCAACTGCAGTTCTTGTTGGAGAGACTCCATGTCAGCAGGGTTCATGCGATGGACTTCCAACCAATCAGCGAGAAGTGAAGCCGAGAGTGGGGCGGAGTCACCTTGACTAATAAAGTGAAGTACAAGAAAGAGAGACCAGGAGATGGGATGGAGACAAAGCAATGGACAATACAGAACTCTAAATTATCTGGATCAGTGTTTCTCGGCAACTCTATCATGACTGGGGAATTCTGGGAGTTGAAGTCCACACATTTTAGAGTTGCCAAGATGGAGAAACACTATTCTAAACAAAACCCTAGAGTATCTCCAGATAAAATTCTTTTCTATGGCATGAAGACAGATCAAATTTAGTGATAGCTGCTTCAGTATAGCTTTTGATGGAGCCCAAACCACTTTAGCCCTCAGGAACTGCTGTAAAGGGCTGAGAGAGACAGTAGAGATTCATTTGAAAATATTAGAAGACAAATTACATTATTATTCAGCGAACGTACCTCCTGCTTCCTATTTTCCCCACAACAAACAACCTGTGAGGTGGCTTGGGCTGAAAGAGAATAAGTGGCCCAAGGTCATCCAGCCAGCTTTCAGACCTAAGGCCTAGAGTTTAGAGCCTCCTGGCTTCTAGGCCAGCATATTAATCTCTGACTCTTCAAATTTCACAGGAAGAACGGCTAATGCAGAACAGGAAACAAATTTAAATCATCCAAAATTGCCACATTTGAAAATGGTACTTTCCGGATACGTTGGGCCTCATCTTTCCTAAGCTTCGTGAGACTAGCTAGGCTTTGTAGGGGCTGAAGGGGAACAAGTAACAGAAGATGGATTCCAACTAAGCATTATTACTTGTCAGATCTTACCGCTGCCAGATCATGGCTCCTCCTTGTTTTCAAAAGAAGTTTGCCCTGTTTTCAATGGTATCAGAGCAGGTAAGCCAATAGAAGAAATACAACCTCTTCGTCCATTAAGGACATGTTACTTCCTGCTGCCCACCAAGATGCTAGTTCCAATAAAGCAAACATCTGTTCCTGAATGCATGTATTCTTCCACCTATTCCACGGCACAAACTTCTCCCCACAAAGTCCCAACAAACAGGATATATGAAACACTGCTCACCTCTCTCTGTTCTCCCCCACCATGTCAAAAGACTGATTCAGGAATTCTTCCAGGTCAAATCCAACCCCGTAACCAGCACCACTGCCTTTGGGCGTTCCAGAGAAAACAGGAGGCAAAAGATCTTCCACCTGGAATGAAGAACCCATAAAAATTTAATGTAGGACTACCAATGATTTGAAGACAAGGGACTCTCCATACAACCTTATTCCTGCACGAATAGCTGAGTTTCTCAGCTGTCCCTTGCACCATGAGCAAACCATCTCCTCAACCTGGTACCCTAAAGGAATATCGCCCTCAGTCAGCGTCTTTTTTTTGGATATGCTGTTCGAAAACTATGGATGCTAAAGCACATCTGGAGCACATCAGAAAAAGGAAAACACTAGCAAATAAAAGGAGAGGAAGGGTAGGTTCAAAGAAGTCAGCTGCATTTAACAAAAATCACAAGTCAGAGAAATAAACAAGTATAAACTTGCTAAATTCCTTTCAGTGGGAGTGGAAGAAAAATAATGTTTTCCAGATCCGATCCAGAATAAACAGTTTTATTCAAAGCATTGTGTTGACTGACACACACAACGAAGAGGACTGTACTCCTTTCTCAGGCTGCGAAAAGCCTTTTGCTCATCTCTGGGAGCCCCGCAAGAGAAATGCTGCAGCCTACACGGAACATTGTGGGAATTCAATTATTAAGCATCCTGCAGAAATGGCATTAAGTTTGCCAGGAGCATCTTTTAGAGGTGCCAAGGGGGCTCCCAACTCTTGTGGATTATAATAAGGGAATTTATACTACCCCAAGCCATGTGTCCTCCTAATATCAAAAGGAGGAGTCCCTCAAGGGCTTTTACCTGAGATTTTGACAGCTGTTGGGTTACCACGTTGATATCAGGAGATTCTGAAGGTAATCCTGACGCTACCTGGGACTGAACTGACCCTCTAGTTTCTTCTGTGGTCAGTCCCTGGGGCAGAAGTTCAGCCTTGCCTATCTCAGACTGGAACAGGGACTGATCCACCTCAGCTCTTGCCACAAAATTGACAACCGGTTCTGGCAGAGGCCCAGCAGGTGCCACCTCAGGCTGGCCAACAGGCAGTTGTCCAGACACAGCCCAGTTCTCAGGCGGAGAGACGCTACGCCAAGCGTTGAGGGCCGTCATTTCATATGGGCCTTGGAAGATCTGGCTTGGGGCATACTTGACGTTCAAGAGGCACTCGGACTTGGCAGGAATGGCTTTGGGGCAAGCCGGGGCAGCCACCATGAAGGGGGCAGTCTGCGCTGGGAAAAAACGAATAACGTTGGTGTTGGAAGCCTGGACCGAGGCTAGCTCGGTCCCCACCGGGACAAGGGTGAGCTTGGGGGCAAGGCTTGGCGCTGCTTTGTCGGAGAAAGCAAGGAATTCGGAAGGTGCCGGTGTGTTACGAGAAGGGGCGGGAGTGACACAGGCCGATGGGGGCAAAGGCTTGGTGGCAGGAACTGAGGGAAGGACATGACTGGCCGTGTTTTTCTGAGGTGGGGCTGTGGACCCATTTTGGATTGGCTTGTTCTGGGTGCGATCCACCATCTTGGTCCACCTTTCCAGAAGGTTCCGGTCGTTCTCGGTCAGCATGTCCTTGTGCTCCCGTTCCTTCTCCTTCTTCTGCTTCTCTCGCTCCTTCGCCCGTTCCTGGCGCCGCTTCCGTTTCTCCTCCCTCTCACGCTGGCGTTCCTTTGCCGTTACCGGTCGCCGGATATCAAGAGTTTCTGAGACAGAGGAAGGTATATCTGCAAGACAGAAAGAGCCAGTGGTGCTTGTGAAGAAGGAATCGAAAAAGTAAAGATGGCGGCTGCAAACACATAATCAAGGAAGGCCACACTTTTTTTAAAAAAACACACCCATCACAGATTAGCATCACTACAAGTACTTCTTGACTTGCAACTTTGTTTAGGGACCGTACAAAGTTACAAAAACAGCACTGAAAAAAGTGACATGACCATTTTTCATACTTACGACCATTGCAGCATCCAAATAGTCACGTAATCAAAATTCGGATAGACTGGTTCGCATTTATGACAGTCACAGTGTCCCAGGGTTATATGTGATCACCTTTTGTGACCTTCTGATAAGCAAATTCACTTACCAGATACAGCCAGATTCACTTACCAACCACGTTGCTAATTTCAACAGCAGTGATTCACCTAACAATTGTGGCACGAAAGATTGTAAAATGGGGCAAAATTCACTTAACAACTGCCTTGATTAGCAACAGAAATCTGGGATTCAAATGTGTTTTAAGTCAAGGATTACCTGTATTTAAGCAGCAAATACTTTCACTCCGATTCTCCCAAGGTTTCTAAGCATTTTCCTGGATTCTAACCAGGTCTTACAGATTATCTTGATCTTACAGTATCCAGGATACAACCTCTTTGGTATCTACTGAACCTTGGAAAACTAACAATTGCTTTGAAGTCCTTTTCAAAGCAGGTTTCTAGACTCTAAATCAAAGATCTTCAAATTTGGCATCTTTAAGACTTGTGGACTTCAACTCCCAGAATTCCTGAGCTAACATGACTGGAGGAAGAATTGTGGGAGTTGAAGTCCACAAGTCTTAAAGCTGTCAAGTTTGAAAACCCCTGCTCTAGAAAGAATACATGTAGTTCTCAATTTACAACAGTTCATATTAGTGTCCATTTGAAGCTACAACAGCACAGAAAAAAGTGATTTATGACCATTTCTCACACTTATGATGGTTTCAGGATCCCCGTGGTCATGTAATTTACATTCGGATGCTTGACAACTGACTCACTTTTATGACGATTGCAGTGTCCCTGGGTCGTGTGATCATCCTTTGCAACCTTCTGACAAGCAAACTCAATGGGAGGAAACCAGATTCACTTAACTATCGGATTACTAACTTAACAACTGAAATGATTCATTTAACAACTGTGGCAAGGAAAAGTCATAAAATGGGGCAAAACAACCTAAACTTTGGTCTTAATTGTGGCCGTAAATTGAAGACTACCTATATTTCATTGCTTAGTAGCTTCATGATATGCTGCGTGTCACCCAAAAAGATACTCCTTGGGTCTTTTTAGCTGCCAGAAAAAGGGAGTGGGGGAAAACAAGGCATTCTTGAAATGCCTAGATAATCATCCAACAGCACCCCAAAGTTGTCAGAGCATAAGAAGGTTACTGGAGAGCATGATGGATGACTCTTGGCTATGAATGTGTTCCGTTGGAGAATATACATCCGGGGGTGGGGGGGGAGACCAGGGTCAAGGGGGAAATGTATGATGTAATTTAGTATCGGCTGCACCCAGCCATGCGCCAACATGGTGACTTCTAATAAACCAATTTACTTTTCTCCGAGATGCGGCTAGAGACTTTTGATTTGAATGAGGGTGGATTTGTTGGAGTCCTGACATGCTTCTGCCTGAAAAGAACATTCAAGGTTGTTTTGTATGTAAAACAAAACAGATGTAAAAATGATGGAAGAACAAATACAAAGCTAAACAGGTGAAAACATTTCAACATTTGCATCTGTATACTTATTTGCTGAAATTACATATATCTTGCTCTTCAGGGGAGTTTCGAGCAACATAGACATTGCTAAGATGCAATGCTACCAAGATGCAGTATTATATTCAATAAATATTATCTGATTCCTGTAAAAAAAATTAGCCTTAAATTTCTTCTAAAAAGGTTACTTGATTTTGATTTGGGATGAAATTGAAAAGGAAGTCCTCAACATGAAACCATTCACTTCGCCACCCTTTGAAGTTACAATGGCATTGAAGAAAGTGACTTATGACCAGTTTTCACACAGACAACTATTACAGCCTCCCCAGGGTCACATGGTCAAAATTCAGGTGCTCGGCAACTGGCATATATCTATGACAGCTGCACAGTCCTGGGATCATGTGACTACCAGCTGGCTTCCGACAAGCATAGTCAATGAGCAAGCAAATCTGGCTTCCCTTAATAACTACACAATTAGCTTCACAACTGTGTCCCCCACAAAATAAAAATTGTAAAAAGGGAGAAATTAACCGTCTTGCCTAACTAGGTCAGAATTCCCCCACCATTTCCAGCTTTGCAGAGGGGAGGGGGCGGAGAGGGGATGGTTGCATGCAAATGGCCGGCATGCACTCGTGCACGCACAGCTCTCCTTGCACAAGCAGCATGCACACGTGCCTGCCGCTCACTTAAATGATTTCATTTCTCCTGCTGATCATGCAATGAGGATGTGCGTGTAGGTGCATGCGCTCATAGGCCGTTTCCCCGGCCTGGTTGCAAATCCCTCACAGCCCATTAACGGGCCACGGCCCACAGGTTGGAGACCCCTGGATATCCTGTCATATCACTTCCCAGAGCCAAAACCTGCAGAAACCTCACCTTTGTTTTTATTCCGGAATGCAGATTGCAAGATGAGGGCTTTGAGAGCAGCCTTGGTGTCATCCGAGATGGCGCCTTCCCGCTTCGGTGGGGCCACGGGGGCCTCCACCTCAGCCTTGACTTCTGGCGGCGTGACAGAGGCAGCAACCAGAGGAGAGGTGAAGTCAATGGTCTCTGTTGGGTAAGGCATGGGAGAGGCCATCGCATAATCATCATCGGCGCGTGGAGAACCAGCACTGGGCATGTCAATATCGTTGCAGCGCAGTAGCAGTGCCTGGTTAGCGGCCTCATCCACCCCGCCGTCCACAACGGCTGGCCTAAGAGAGGGCTTGAAGCTGATCTGCCGCCGGATGCCTTCCCGGCGTTCGTGGAAGTCCTTGATTTCCGCCATGATAGTCTCCTTGATTTGTTCCTTGGTAAGCACTTGTTTGTCAAAGTCAAAATCAAAAGCCGGGACGCAATCCGGCTCATCGTCCGGATCGTGATACTTAGACAGAAACGGGTGGTTCAAGGCCTCCACCACAGAGATGCGTTCACGTGGGTCGAAGCGGAGCATCTTGGAGAGCAAAGACAAGGCCTTCCGGTCGGCATTCTGGTAGAGATTGTCCCACGGCACTGGCTGGCGTGATGGCAAGCTCTGGATGTAAGCACGCACACGGTCGGCACCAATGGAGTGGACCACTTTGGCGGGAGGAGTGCCCAGGACGGTGATAATCAGCTGCAGTTGGTGGATATAGTTTTTCCCAGGAAAAAGCTGCTTCCGTCCAAGCATCTCTGCAAAAATGCACCCTACTGACCACATGTCTATAGCCTGTGTATATTCGTGCAGAGACAACATCAGCTCTGGGGCTCTGTACCAGCGAGTGGCCACATACTCTGTCATGAAGTACTTGTATTCAACTGGCTTGGTGCAGAGGCCTCGGGCCATCCCAAAGTCACCAATCTTCAGCTCACAGTTCTCATTGATCAGCAGGTTGCTGGGCTTGAGGTCTCGGTGGATCACATTGGCCGAGTGGATGTACTTAAGGCCTCGGAGAAGCTGGTAGAGAAAGTAGCGCACGTGCTCCAAAGTGAGAGGCTGTGACGAATGGATAATCTGGTGAAGGTCACTCTCCATTAAGTCTAGCACCACATAGCTGCCAGCGGGGGAAAAGAAAGGGCACAAGTCAATAAAAGAGTGAATCTGGAGTGTTGCCCACATGCAATACTTGCTGAATAATCTTGGACCTCTCCTCTTCTCGTATGCAGGCATACGACCTTCCCTGTTGGGGGTTGTTGTAAAAATAACCCTGTGTGCTATTCCGGAGCCAAATGGTAGCACGGCACATATGCTGATGTGTATATCACATATTGATGTGATTACCTAGAAGACTGTCCACTTGGAAATAGAGAATAAGAGAATAATAATAAAGCAGGGAGGCGGTGAATATTACAGCTCCCCTCTCCTAAGGAGGGGGAGCAATAAGAAGGGCCTTATCTGTAGTGTCTCCCTTCCTGAGGAACATCATCCCTCTGGAGCTAAGATTGGTCCCCACCTGTTCTTATATTAAGCTTTTATTAGCTGCAAAGTCACTGAGAGTGAATAAGATGGCCATGTATATTTTCTTAAATAAATAAATAAAAAATGGCGTTCGTACATTTTGATTCTACTTCCTTGAATTGAGAAGTCGCACATGCTGTTTCCAAGCCAATAAAATATTCACAATAAGCCTGGAAAATAAGGACAAGAGAGACCAACTCACCCACGGACAACGAAAAAACTATCATTATTCGAACCTGGATTTCCAAACTTTCTGACAACCACTAACATTATCTCATCTTATTCAAGAAACGGACCAGACCTTTTACTGGAAACTGTCCTAGTCCCAAAGGATCTGGGAATTTGATGCAGAAAAAAAAAAAAACCCTCTACCACATGCAGCAAATTCCCCAAGCACTCACTATTTCAAAAAGCCTTCGTGTCAATTCGCCAAAACTGAATTTGTGGCCTGACATCGAACAAGGTTATTGTTTTTGTTTTAGGTTAATATTGGTGTTTTAATTGTTTTTAATATTTAATATGAGACACCCAGTCATATACTTGAAGATGGGCAGCTATATAAAACAAACAATTGGGTTTTTTTAATGTTTAATGTGAGAACCCCAAAATTATATATCCCAAAGGTGCATTTTTCAGGAGGCAACTGGACTTTCTTGCTTTTCTTTGAAGATGTTTTGCTTCTCATCTGAGAAGCTTCTTCAGCTCAGAGCTCAGAGCTGACGCTTCTTGGATGAGAAGTGAGATGTCTTCAAAGAAAAACAAGGAAGTCCATTAAGCATCTTTGGGACAACCACGACCTGGATGACTGAGAATCTCCACTGACACTTACCGAAGTCATATACGTGCAGATGGGCAGCTATATAAAACAAACAATTATATAAGTTGTCAACTAATCCTTTAAAAACTAGAGGTGATGTAACCTTCTGAGCTCACACTGATTTAATCAGCTTTCTACAAGAAGAAATGAACTGTTTTAATTTATTATCTCATAAAGGCTACCGGAATTTCAGACAGGGCTAGGACCAGACAGTATTTCTCAAGCCTGGAAAACTTTTAAGACAGACACTTACACAGACTTGAATTCAGCATAAGGCACGGAAGGTTTCAGGATATCCTTGATGGCAATGATGTTATCGTGCTTGAAATGTTTCAAGATTTTAAGTTCCCGGAGGGTACGCTTGGCATTCATCACAACGTCAAAGGCATTCGGGATCTTCTTTATCGCCACCTGCTGGCCTGGTAAGTGGAAAACAGGAAAGAGGTGAGGTGTGTATCTCTCACATTCTGCAAATCACAAATTTGTTTCCTGTTCACAGGTATGCCACTCTAAAGGTTCTTAGATGCATTCTGACAAGCACTGGGTGGTTGTTGTTTTTTTTAATTGGTTATACACTGTTAAATCTAATGGCTTTTATTGGAGAGAGGATTTGAGGAATGTTTTCTTAGTGCAACTTGTATTTATTTATTTTCCTTTTAAAGTACAAAAAAGAAAAAGGAACAAAACGTCAAAAAAAATTACAAAGGACACAGTTTCAAATGGAAAAAGAAATGCATTAAAAGTACTCTAGGGAAAAAAGTGAAAAAATACAATAGAAAAAAGAAACAAGGTATAATAATGATCTAGCGTAAATATTATTAAGGTGTATGAATAGAATAGAAAATAGAATAGAATAGAAAGAAATAGGAATAGAATAATAGAATTGGAAGGGACCTTAGAGGTCTTCTAGTCCGACCCCTTGCTCAGGAAGGAAATCCTATACCATTTCAGACAAGTGATTACCCAATCTGATTCACAACTTCAGGAAGCAAATTGTTCTACTGATTAATTGTTCTAACTGTCAGGAAAGTTAGACACATCTTTATTTCTAATATTTTTATGTCATCATAACAGTGTCTTGTGGGAACTCAGCCTATTCAATCACTGTATTGCATGAACTCATAAAATAGGTAATTCACTTTCCAAACTAAGTTATTTCACAAATCCAACCAGTCAACTCACACCTTTCCTTAATCACTATTTATAAATGAACCACATATACATGTGTGGTTCGAATTCATACAGGTAGTCCTCAACTTATGCCTGGTCCTTTAGCAATCATTCAAAATTACAATGGACAACCAAAAGCTATAGCACCTGGTTCGAGAGGTCCAACAGGTACACGTACACACACACACAGTCACACAATCTATCATAAACACATGATCACAAGTTATAGTCATGTGACTTATCACTCATAGGAATATCCTGTTTACCTAATGACCACATAACAGCTTAACCACCACTCTAAAAAAACCCCATAAAATCAGATCCAGTCATGTGGATGCCTTGACTTCTGACCATCATTGACTTACAATGAAAATTCTGAGCTCCATTACAGTCATTATTCCTTAATTGAGACAGTTTCTGAATATAACCTAAAGCCATTTTATGTAATTAGGGACCTTGGCATTTCTTTGGGTCCTTATGCCAAAGCTCTGCTCTGCATCTCAGTGCAATATATAAAACTAAGTCTCCCTATTTCCCAGACTCTGGCAAGCCTTCCCTGGCCTGGCATCAATCCGTTCCTTTGGAATTATATTTCCTAAATTTCCCAGCCAGCATGACGGAAAAATTTTGAAACTGTAGTCAGGAAAGGCTGGCTTCGATCCAGGTATCTAGTTTGAACGTGGCACAGGCAAAAGCATTCTGAAGGATTTTGTCTTAACAGAAAATGTGTAGCCCGGGCAGGAAATCCTTCCTTTAAGGCAGTGTCACTATCAATATACTGATAAGATGCATACCCAGCAGCACAGACCTTAAAACATCAAGGAGGAGTAGCCTAGAACCAGGAGGTTGTGAGTTCTAGTCCCACCTTACACATGAAAGCTGGCTAGGTAACTTTGGGCCAATCACTAGGAAACTGTGAGTTCTAATTCCACCTTAGGCATGGCAGCCAGCAGGGTGACTGGGCCAATCACCAGGAGACTATGAATTCTAGTCCTACTTTAGGAATGAAAGACAGCTGGGTAACTTTGGGCCAGTCACTCTCTCTTGTGGTGGGAAAAAAATTTGTTTTATGTGTTTGTTTGGTTTTTTGGTGATGGTTAAGCGAATGCCACTGCCATTATGTGAATGCAACAGTCATTAAGTAAATGAACCCACCTTACAGGGTTGTTGTGGTGAGGAAAACAGGAAGAAGAAATATTAGGTATATTGACGGTCTTGAGTCATTCAAATATATACATTTTTAAAAAGTACAAGTCCAATAACAGTGTCTCATTAATCTGCATAGTTTGCTACCTGTTTTAATACTAATACAAAAATATCTGCTACTAGTAAATTATAGGTAGTCCTAGTTTAACAATTCTAATCAGCGGGATGGGACAGCTCATAACAGCCAACGCAACATGGCCAACTTGGTGTGGGACAAGAATTATAATAACATCGTGTCAGGATTCCAGCAGTTACCCCCATTTAAATCATGAGTCTTGAGCCAAACTTCCAAATCTTCAAAGGATTAATTAGGAGTTAACATGTCCGGCACTGCGTGAGTATAGCCGACTCTAAGACACATAATTCACTGTCACCCTTGACCTTGGTTATCCCCCACCCCTTGGATGTATTGTAATTCATATTCTCCAATGGGACACATCTATAGCCAAGAGTCATCAATCAGTCATCTAGTTACTATCTTTGAAAACATTTATGGAATGCAGTTGCGGTTTGCAAGCTGCTGCACTGCTCCTCCCTCCCTTTCTGTTGGCAACTCTAAAAACCATAGAAATATTTCATGAGTTGACAGATTGAAGAAATGCTGGAACTGAATCATTAAGGAAAGGATGCCCAAGGAAAGACAAAATGAAATGTGAATGAGAAAAATTAAAATAATTTTTTAATTATTTTAAATAATTAAATGGTTGAATTGTCCCACAGTGACTTGTCCTGGGGCAAGTTGACCATGACAAGTTGTTTGCAGAGAATTGTCATAGCCACGGAATAAACAATTCATCATTAAGCAAAGCAGTTAAGTGAAACCACCACTGTGCTTACGATATGATCGTACTTAAGTTTTACAAACCTGCGAAGGTCATAAGCGCGAAGAACTATGGCTGCATAGTTATTTTTTCATCACAATCATAAATGTTATATGAGGCAGTGGCTAAATGAGGACTACCCATATGCATTAATATTTCAGGGTACAGTAGTACCTCTGATCACAACCAAATCGGGTTCTGACCCAAAAATTCACAATTATTTTTAATCTGGTCACACATACTCAGGTGGTGATCAAACACGACCCTTGACCCAGAAATTCCTGAAGACAAAACATTAGAAGGCAAAGAAATCACCAAAGTTATGGAACGAATTATGGTGGCGACCAGAGGCTCTACTGCACTAGCAATAGCAATAGAACTTAGACTTATATTCCGTTTCACAGTGCTTTTACAGCACTCTTCAAGCAGTTTACAAAGTCAGCATATTGCCCCCAACAATCTGAGTCCTCATTTTACCAACCTCGGAAGGCTGGAAGGCTGAATCAGTCTCAAGCCTGGTGAGATTTGAACTGCCAAATTGCAGGGAGCCAGCAGTCAGCAGAGGTAGCCTGCAGTACTACATTCTAACCACTCCGCCACTAAACCAAACTTTGCAGAAAACACTACACAGAGAACCACAGGACATATATTATTGATACATACCACTAGTCAAGGAGAATTCCTCTATGCCCCACCTCTATGCAGGAGATAAACTACACAAGATCTCAACAGCCACCCAGCAGAGAGCAGCATGAAGCCATCTGACTTACACACCTGTGTCTTTGCGCCGTGCTGAGCTCACCACACCATAAGCTCCAGTGCCAATTGTTTCAATGACTTCATACTCATCTCCCACTTCGAAAGTGACGTCAAATGACCGGGCCTTCAAAATGGCTAAGTTCTTTGCAGCCACCGTGGCCTGATGGGTGGACTCCTGCTTGGGTTGAGTTTCAGCTGCTTCCTCACCCTCGTCTTCCACTGGTGGTTCAGCCATCGTCTGTCACATTCACACACACAAACACACACAGAGACAAACATGAATTATGAAATCCTGCTGCCCAAGCCAAATGTTTCAAGAGGTTACTGCCCAATGCCTAATTTCCTATTCTCATCTTCATTACAGTAAATATAGCAGGTGGACACAAGCAAGCCTTGACACTTGATGCAAGACTGTTGAAAGTAACCCAGGATAACAGCAGCATTTAGCAGATGATGAACAATGAATAGATTTAGGGCCAAGCAGAGGAACATATGTCTTACCAGAGAACCAGTTTTGTTAAGAAACTGAATGGAGATTCTCAGTCATGGTTGTTTAAAGGTGTTTTTTTTTCAGGAAGCAACTGGACTTTCTTTCTTTTTCTTTTGAAGACTTTCAATTCTCATCCAAGAAGTTTCTTCAGCTCTGACTGGATGGTGGGAATCAAAGGATTTATAGTTCCTTGTAGACCCTGAGGACACAGATTAAATCTCCAAGTGTTTTAACAATTCTCTAAAACAGGGGTGTCAAACGCACGTTGTCACAGCAGCATCATGTGATGTATTGGGACTTTTTCCCCTTCGCTAAACTGGGCGTGGGCATGGCCAGCACATGATGCATTAGTCCTGCAGGCCAGGAGTTTGACAGCTCTAAAAGAATGCAAATGACCAGCTGTCTGCAAGGAATATAAATCCTTCCTTTCCCCACCATCCAGTCAGAGCTGAAAAAGCTTCTCGGATGAGAAGCAAAACATCTTCAAAAGAAACAAGAAAGTCCAGTTGCCTCCTGAAAAAAGCACCTTTAGTTAAGGTGGTTAAGGCAGCAGACCAGAAATCAGAAGACTTTTTAGTTCTAGACCCACCTTACACCCAAAGCTAATAAATGACCTTGGGCCAGTCATGTCCTGCCAGTTCTAGGCAGAAGACAAGGGCAAATCATTTCCAAAGATCTTGCCAAACAAATTGAACGAACTAAAATTGGGAACTTGGGAATAATGACAGGCAAAATATAAGAGTGTTATATTAATATATGAAGCATATAATTGAATGTAGTTCATTAATCGTTTCTCCCTTGACCCTCTGTAACTGACCTCAATTAGCTAGCTATGCAGATTGTGATGAGTGAGACACATTTTTAAAAAAAAAAGCACGAAAGGAGAGTGCATACAATTAAGAACAGATAATCAAATCTTGCACAAGTGAGTGTGCAAATTATTTGAGACAATTTGAAATTACAAGATAATTTTATACTTTATGAAAGAGAACTTGCAAGATAATTCAACCTACTGAGCCTCTTGGAATAAAGTACTTTTTTATAAAGTACTTTATAAAGTACTTTAAAAGGAAAAAATGGATGCAAACTTGAGGATAGAATGTGAAAGAAAGTTCCTTTTTAATTTAGGAACAGGAGAGCAGTAGTCTTTGAGTACTTCTGACTGGGAAAATAAAATAGGGCAGCATGACAGTAATCTGCCAGCCTGAAATTAAGAAGAATCTACGATAGGATAGGATGGGGGGTGGGCGTGGAGGGAAGCATGGAAAAGTTGTTCTCTTACCAATCAAAAACACAGAAATTTCAGAGAAGAAAAAATAGTTTCTCTCCCCCCACCCCCATCAGTTCTTAGGACAGAGTGAGATTAGGAAGCAAACTGGGCTGGATTTGGACAAAAAAAGGGAAAAGTGTCAGTAGCCAATTTTATAGAGCAAGAAAAGGAAAAGTGTTTCCCTGTAAGAAGGGAGTCAGTTTGGTATGGTAGTTAAGGCACTTGCTCAAGACCGGGGAACTCCCAAGTTCAAATCCACCCTAAAAACTCCCTGAATGTCTTCGGATCAGCCACATTCCCTCCGTCCAAAAGGACAAAGGAGGGAGACCCAACCCACGTTGACCTCTCGGACAAAAGCAGTAATTGAGAGGGAGGGGCTGGGGTTCAGTAGCCAAGCTGAATGTTGCCAATGGAGCAAAGCAGGGATGGGGAGGAAAATAAGGAGGGAGAAAGGGCTGCCGATCTCGTGGGGAGGGGCAGAGGGCTGAATTATTAGAGCTGCAACGCAAAGGGAAAATTATACCGCTGGCCAAATCTCCTTCCAGCTGGAATCGTCCACCCCTAATGAGGATAGGAAGGAACCCGCGGGAGAAAAAGGATCCCCACCTGCCAAGATGCGAGATGAAGCGCCGAAGGTCTCAGGAGGTGGACAACAGGGGCGGTTCCCTCTCTGGTCCGCTACACCCTGGTGAGGATGATGGCTCGCCCGGCTGGTCAAGAGTGCCCGGATGTTACGGCTCCGACTGCTCCTCAGCCAATCAAAACGCAGGCGGGCGTGGCTACGAGGGCAAAGCGCCCCGAGATTGCTCCGGCATCGGTACCTTTCTTGAAACAAAATGAAACGCCCCACCTCGCCCGCTAGGAAGAGCCAATCGGAGGGCGCGGAGAAAAAAGCCAGGGGGCCAATGAGAGAGGGAATGAAATAATATTAAAATACGAGTGGAGCCGTTCTGTAGCCTTAATGCGGAGGGCGGGTGTTTCACCTGTTGCTCTTCAGCCCGCTATTGTTGTGGATTGCTGCGAAGGGAACGCCTCACGAAACGAATCGGCACCCCAATATTTCGAAGTTGGAAAGAGAAATAAATATATAGCCTTAGCTATTCAGCAGATGAAAGACCAGATATAGGCAGTGATTCATGAATGAGTTGCTTGCAGATAAAAGAATAGACGTTTTCAATGAAATAGGCTTTATTAAAACTCTTGCAAAAAGCACGTCGGAAAAATCCTTCTATTTTTGCTGTTTTTTTCTTTTTGTTATTTCAATTGTTTTAGCAAAATAAAGTCGATTTTATTTAAGTTATGTGTGTGCCTAGCCCTAACCTACATATAATCAGTATATGTCCATATAATTCCATATATTTCACATACAGTTTAGCTTAAGACTCATGTCCTGCAGGGACAGGAATTTGATGTTAAGTTCAAACACCATTTTTCATACCTGGGGTGACCAAGATGTTGATCTTCGATGCTTCACCCTCATCAATATTATAGGATACCAATACAGTGAATTGAAGAGGTAGATCTGACTCTTGATTGCTGCTTGTATAAGGGGGTGAAAGATAAGTACCTTGATCCACATGTTAAACACATGACCCAGTGGGGGGTCCATATTCAAACAACATATGTGTGGCCAGAATCTGAAAGCGACATTTAATACAGCACAATTTCTGTCTAAAATGGTCTGACTGAAATCAGCATGTGTGGGCCTGATTGGGGCAGATTGCAAGGGTGATACGGAAATATAATTTTGTTATTTTATTCTATTTTACATATTTATGTATTATTGTAGTTTATCCAATAAATATTGTATTTTACCCTACTCTCATTTTAAATTGTTTAGAATTTTATTGGTAATATGTGTTTGAACCTGTACGTTCAAAGTTGAAAGACTGGAATAAACCAGTTGTGGCAGTCCAATAGTTATCACCACACAGGTGCCATACCAAAATACCTTGGATAAAATTTAGATCATTCACAAAATTTCCATCTGTAAATTGCAAAATGCAACCCTGCTTGGATGAGAACATATATTATGCCAATGGGGAAAGAATTCAATGCATGTGAAGGCTAACACCAGCTAAAGAACTGACAGCCATGATTTCACATTGTTGTCTGTATAATAATAACACACCAAGACAAAACAATTAAATAAATCAGTTTTCAGTTTGTATTAGTTCCAGGTTTGATCATTCTTAGTTTTACAATGAAAATTTGATAGGAAATAAATTCATTAAACAGAAACCAGAGGATTTTGAAAAGAAAAACAATATTATAGCTCCTCCAACAAGTAAAATCATATTTATATGGAAAATCTCCAACTGTTACCATTTGGATGTTGTTTTTATTTATCAATATTGGACAGGTTGATATTTGGGGAAAATAAAATGTTAGCCCTGAGTTACAAAAGACAAGTGCTAAAAATAATCATTTTGCACATACTTATAAAGTGGAAACCTTGCTGAACTTGCTTCTGAGTAAACACAGAGTTTTTCAAATTTAAGGTGAGAATTCCAGTTTTCAGTGAAGTTGATACCTGAAATAATAATAATAAAAGGGAGAGGAAGGAAGGGGAACAGGGAAGGTAGATAAAATTCAAATTGAATATTAGAACATCATTACAGCAGCATCAGGCAGAGCAGGAGAAACTAGGCTGAATAGAAACGTCTGGAACACAGATGGAAGAACAAACCCAGAAATCAAGAACTGTAAGCAGGGACCTACACCCCAAAAGCACCTAAGAAGTTGTCATGATTTCCTATTGCTTCAATAAAACTGCACAGATCTGTGATGGCGAACCTATGGCACACATGCTGGAAGCGATATGCAGAGCCATCTCTCTGGGCACGCCAGCTGTCACCCATTGCTCTTCTGGGTTCCAGCATGCACATGCATGCCAGCCAGCTGGTCTTTGTGCACGCATAGGAGCACCATTATCTGCTATTTGACTTCCGGGGGAAGGGGAGTTGTGTTCCAAACAAGAATGGCTGAGGTTTTATTTATTTGATTTTTATCCTGCCTTTATTACTTTATAAATAACTCAGTGTCGTATTTAATACTCCTTCCTCCTCCCATTTTCCCATAACAACCCTGTGAGGTGGGTTGGGCTTAGAGAGAATAATTGGCCCACTCACCAAGTCAGTTTTCATGCCTAAAGCAGGATTAGAATTCAGTTTCCTGCCAATTGGCCCAAAGTCTCTCAGCTGGGTCTCATGCCTAAGGTGGGACTAGAACTCAATCTCCTGCTGATTGGCCTAAAGTCACCCAGCCAGCTTTCGTGCCTAAGGCAGAATTAAACTCAGTCGCCTATTTCTAGGCCTACGCCTTAACCACTAGAGCACACTGGCTCTTTGGTTCCCTTGACCTCCTTAGTAGAGGCAGCAAGTTTTGGAGACTTTCTTGATGCACTTTTTCAGCTCGCCTATATACTTTTATCTACCCTTAACCAAGCAAAGCCTCTACAGGCTTAGATTTAATGTTCCCTTTAATGGATAAAGAAATGTTTCTGGATTTCCGGCATGCTCCAGCCTTGGATAAGACTAGGAAAAACCAGTTTCACATCCAGGCCTAACCATGGAAATTTTGATCCAATAATTCTTTTGCTCCAGCCAATCTCATAGGGTGAGTTTTGTGAAGATAAAATAAAGGAAGATTCTCATGTAGGCTAACTGAGTTCCTAGAAGTAACGTGGCACATCAAAATCATAAATAACATTTTTAAAAATTGCTATAGCCAAAAGGAAGCACTGGATATTATGCTTTGAGTTTAAACATTAATCCTGTGGCTTGGAGTATCACTTCCTTCAGAAGCAACCAGCCAATTTATCAGTTTTCAAAAATACGGAGCCAAACCAGCTGTATTGTTAAGAGATATGAAATGGAAGTAGTCCCATAATTTGAGATCATTACTGTTTAATATAAAATTTATGTATCACCAGACGTTATGAAGAGGATTCACTGTTATGAAAAAAATAATTGGGGTAGAAAATCTGTATTAGTCTAAATTGAACAATGTAAGCCCTTGTTGTTACAATTATTCTATTTCATGCTTTCTCTACAAATAGATTGATTTACAGTTGCTCTATAGTTGTTGCTGTATTCTACAGCTCTTCCTGTGACAACAGGTATTATATGATCTAACTAAGACTGGTAAATTAAAGAAACCTTGACTGTTTAATCTAAAATGTTTTTGTAGACCATAAAATTCTATCATAAGTTTAACAAGAATCGAAAACTACGAGAATTAAGAAGATGGAAAAAGAAATATGAACACATGACTTGAAAAGCTAAAAACTAGCCATCCGATCCCATGAGCAAAACATTTTCTCAGCTACAGAAGGAAAAAAAAAACTACAAAACCAGCATAGTGGATATCTTTCCTGAGATTTCAGCCCATCTGTTTTAATTCCAGACTTATTTCTTCTTTAAAACAGTGTTTCTCAATCTTGGCAACTTGTGGGCTCAACTCCCAGAATTCTCCAGGCAGCAAAGTGACTGGAGAATTCTGGGATTTGAAGTCCATACATCTTCAAGTTGCCACGGGTAAGATAACACTGCTTTAAAAAATAAAAACCCAAGTTGACTTTGTAGCAGCCTGAAATCATATACAGATTATCAAGTCATCTTGGGCCGAAATCAATTTTCATCCAAGATCACTCATCCATTTTTGGAAAAAAAAATCATAACATTGGCAGTGCTTCCTATAATCAGAAAATATTAGTATTAATTGTTAAAGACCCACTATGTTCATCAATTTTTAATTACAAATTCTGACTGCTGTACACTTGGATCCAAGAGAGATACTTATCACATATCTGCACGGTCTGGAATAAGCCAACCATCATTTATTTATCATCTCTACAATATGAGACTAGCAATATAGAAAGACTGGAATATTCAGAACTTCATCAAGGAGATAAATTGTAAATGTTGCCTAGACCTACCCCTTTCAGCAAACATTCAAAATTCTTTGCTACGAAAAATTTTATTCCAGGGAGCAGAAATCTATGCTGCAGAAGATGTATTTATTTATTAAATTTATATGCTGCCCATCTGGCTAGAAGATGCCTGCATCTGGAGCATTCTGATTTACAGATACCATCTTTATTGGAGGAAGACTGTAAGTTGAAAGCTCCAAATTGCCATCAAATGTGCAATAAAACAAACCCAATCAATAGAGGATATAGAATCAGCCGTGGGAAATTCAAAAGCTCACCAATGACAGGAAAGCCACCATTTGGAGAGAAAGGAGAATTTCTACTTGATCAAATGTCTCTCTCTTCATAATTTTCAAGAAATCTGTTTGCAGTGGGGTAGGTTTTTCTAGGAAGCGCTAAAATATGCCAGAGAAAGAGATGGATTCTGAAAAAAAAAACCTCATTTTCTTTTTCTATCAATTTTTTTCACACCTATATACCAGAGTTTTCATGGATTTCAATTCCCAGAATTCAATTCTGGGAATTGAAATCCATACATCTTAAAGTTGCCAAGTTTGAAAAACACTGCTCTAAACTGTTCCACTCATCCATTACAGATGACAGAAATTTGAGTTCACATTATTCTTGAGGTTTTTTGCCTTGTTTTGGAGGTGGGTGGAAAGGAAGGGAGGGAGGGAGGGAGAAAGGAGAGGAGAGGAGAGGAGAGGAGAGGAGAGAAGGAAAGGAAAGGAAAGGAAAGGAAAGGAAAGGAAAGGAAAGGAAA